CTTGCTCCTATTTTTGCATTTATTTAAAGTGTTAGTTCAGTATTCTGGGAATTCCGACTTATTTCCGGTAGACATTACAGTTAGAGGTTCTTAAGTGGATAGAAAAACGATCTCCTTTTTTCTTTAAAACCGCCCATCCCCTGGCCTTACGCCAATTAGTTGATTTCAATTTCTAGCCCCATTTTCCTGCAGACTCCATAGTGCCTCAACAGACACAGATTTCTTATTTTGCATCTTATGTTGCCTGTGTATCAATTTGTCAATTGGGTAAGGGTTATAAAACTGGCTTATCTTGATTTTTCCACCCCCTGGGTTGTGGTTCAGGAACGGAGAGAGCTGGAGACACTACTGGCAGAAGCCAAGGAACATTGCAAAGAGATGCAATCTAAACTGAGTCGTATCCAGACCTCCACTGACAGAGAGATTTCCGGCCTTTGTAGGGATCGAAACATGGCAACTGAGGTAAGTCAGATAATAAATTAGTATTCCGGAAGTCGCCTACACACATTTCCATTAGGCATAACAAAATAGATTTCATATCTTCTTATTTTCTCTTTAAAATGCTAGCCTTTTTGCCAAAATGTACCAGGATAGAATAACACTAAACCCATAAAATAACCCCAAATTGCAGTTTGGGAACCTATGCTTGAATTACTTTTTTCGTCGCCCTTTTCCTCGCTCACTATTATACATTTATTTAGAAATAATTGTTCATTTACCTCAATGAAGGTCTTTTTAAGATAGCGCCTGAATGGTTTTAGTCGTCTTCCACGTGGTGGCTTCGGCCTTGACGAAATACACCTGGATTCTTGAGTCGTGTGGCCTAAATCTGCAATTTTGAGAAGCTGTGATAGGGCGACAATGAGATTAGAGTGTAAAGAGTAGATAGATAGGCCTGGACAGAAAGAGGAGTGATAGTGTAACCGTTTTCGGCAGAACATTTCTCGAGGGATTGGTTTCACTTGTCTCTTTGACGAGTTCGTCGCATGGTGCGGAGAATGGCAAAACTCGCGGATGATGCCGACCAAATGTTTGAGAATGTACAAAGTCCACTGTCTGATGCTGGGCATCATGACAACTACTATGGCAGACGACTTCGGACTAGGTGCGTTCTACTAAGTCTCCCTGACAACAGGACCAAGTTGCGACAACGAGGTCAACCCATTTCTGTAAATGTGCAAGGTTGTGCATCACCCTTTCTACAACTCTGTGCAGTGTAGACATGCAAAAGTTCTTTGATGGAGCAGTAGGATTGTAATAAATGTTACGATGTCGAGATCGTTTCTAATGTCCGCAAAGTGTTTTCCCTTTGCCTTAAATTCCTCTAACTGCAGCAGATTTTGTAAAAACAAAAAAATAGATCGTGGCCTTTTTGTTTGGTTTCAGTCACTTTTAGCTGTATAGTTTTGAATTGACCTCGTTTTCACAACTTGGTCGAGCGACAAGGAGACCTTGTGGAACGTACCTAGTTCTGTGTTCTCTGCCAGAGTTTTCATAAGGATTACCGACATTCGACAGTTGATGAGAATGTACCAAGCCACCGGCCCGATGATGAAAATCAATATGGATATTCTGGCAGGGGACGCTGGACTAGGTACTTTCCACAAGGTCTCCCTGTCGCTCCGACCAAGTAGGAAAAACGAGGTCAAATTGACCCTTAACAGTGAAATAGCCTAAATCTCTTAGAATAACGCTATCTAAATGTATTGGATAATTTCCCTGTCCCCTTTTCTCATGAAATATACTTGTAACTTTGTTTTAAACGAGGCCGGTATTCTCCGAACTCATGTTGGTGCAAACAGCATACAAAAATTTTCTATCGTTTGCGTATCATGATGATATGGCAAGTAAAAAATAATGAAAAATGAGTACTTTCTAATTCATAAATTCATTATTTATTCATTTGATTTTCATTTGTATGGGCATATATGTCACTTTTTTGTTGCTAATGTAACCGGAGACTAGAATAATGCAAAATTTAAAGGCACACGGCTTGG